ATCTCGAGCTTTTCAGGACTATCACAATCCTGGATGCATCATATTGAACTTTTACACGTTTCTGTGATACCTGTAACCTACCTTACACCTGAACCAACAACCTGTCATGCCATTATCGTGGCAAAGAACCTCTAAGTTGTCACCAACTTCAAAAGCCAGCTATATTAAGGCTCAACAAGCTGAATTCCAACCGATCCTATGCTTCGAGATTTTATTTTCAATTTTGGGTAAGTTGGTTTGGCTTTTGCTATCTAGTTACCAGCCATTAACACACTTCTCCTTTCACTTCTTGGGGTATCTAGAAGATAAGAGAAGTCAAATTTACTATAATGTAAAAGTAGATAGATGAGATAAAAGTAATCTATAACTACTAGCCTTCACATTCTTTCTACAAAGATCCAATTGTATAAAACATCAACAACTCAAAAACACCAGCAACTTTGCAGCTTATACAACAATTTACTGGGGGTTCAGCTAAAAGAACCAAGTTCAACGCCGATAATTCCATAGACGGCTATGGGGTAATCTTAATCTTTATGAGCACATAAGATTTAAATTCTACATGTGCATATAACCATCAAAATGAAAAAAGAATTCTACATTTCCTTAAAGAAAATCTACTCTAAAATCGGCTAGTAATTAATAGGGGTCGCAAAAGTTAAGGTACCTAGAGCTTTTCAGAACCATCACAATCCTGGATGTCATCATATTGAACTTGCATACATTTTTGTGATACCTCTAAGACCTTACACCTGAACCAGCAACCTCTCATGCCACTATCCTGGCAAAGAACCTCCAAGTTGTCACCAACTTTAAAAGGCAGCATACTGAATTCCAACCTGTCCAACGCTGGGAAATTTAATCTTTAACTTCAGGCAAGTTGGTGGTTCAGTTTTTGCTAACTGGTTACCAGGAATTGGTTTTCTAATACCAGAATGGTCACTCTCACTGACACTTCTACTCCCCTTAAGTCCTTGCGTTAAAGGAACTTCTCGGGTGATATCTTTTACTTCGTGCAACATATGACCCATTGACCTAAGCTGGGCTTGTTAACTGTGAGACAAGAGATATATTTCTCATAATCTCTGGGAGTCAAAAGTGTAGCAAGAGCATCAATACAATCGGATCGGATCACCTGAACATGAGACGTGATAAGTACTTCTCTAGATGGTCCTCAAGCTTTGGAATTACACAATGGACTTCCTGAAAATGTTCAGAACACCGCACCTCAACTCTTTTCAGTCCCTTTTTGTTCTCATAAAAATCCTCCAAGTAACCTGGGTACTGACTTTCTTTTTCGACTGTGATTATAGTGAAGGAATTAAGCTGCAGAAAACTAAGAGATTACACGAGGAAGGAAAAGAAATATGAGGTCAAGAAACTGATTTAATGCTACAGAGTGCTTACAGTTATTGTAGTTCCATTTCTACTAAAAGAAGGATAATGCGTAAGTTGCTTGGCGCAGGTCCAAGCAGTACGTACCTGACCACAAAATATTTGATTTTTTTGCTTTAAACTTATTAGGAAGCTGTCCCTGGAACAGATATTCTCCCCTTCAGTAACTGAAGTTAAAAAAGTTGAAACTAATACAAAAAAAAAGTAGATCAACATATTTGAGACCTCATCAGCCAAGTGACCAGCCATTACAGCGCTTCTTCTCCTTTCACTTGTCGGGGTATCTACAAGATAAAGGGAAGTCAAATTTACTATAATGTAAAGTAGATTAAAGTTAAGATAAAAATAATTTATAACAACTAAGCGTAGCATTCTTTCTACTAGAGATCCAATTGTATACAGCATCAACAACTCAAAAACACTTTGCAACATATAAACCAATTGCAACAATTACACAAGAAATTGTTTGTGAAGTGGTAAAGGGTTTACCCGTGTGATAAATGTCACATCCCAAAAATACCCCTTAGACATGACTAGCATCCACCTACACCGCCTGTCGGGCAAACCAATTATCCATTTACTTACCCAATTATGCAAGCACTTTGAGCAATTTGTGCAAGTCTAGCAAATAAATAATAATCAATGCATGGAGAAAAATAATCCAATAAAACTCCATAATCAATCTATTAACTCAACGATTACTCAAAGACTAATTATCTAGCCCAAATCCCACAATAAGACCATGGAGCATCTAATAGGACTATATGAGGTTAGTTGCCAGGCATGCAAACCCCAAGAAAAGAAATTTACTATAAAATAGATAGAGATGAAACGGCAACCTCCACGAATAATGGAAGGGCTCACCTCAACAACAGAATCGACGCGAACGGACTCGTTCCTCACTAGTCTTACCCTCCACAAAAATATCTGCATAGACATGTAGGTAAGGACTAAGGAGTGAGCTAAACCTTAACATCTCACACCTTAATCCATGAATTAAAAGGTAAAATATCTTAGCTTCACTGTTGAAACTTAATAGGAGAAAATTCAGTCCAATATATCAACACTTATATTCCAAAAAAGTACTCCAACTGCGTAAAAACAAATCTAAGTGAAAACCATAAATTGCGGGGAACTAATGTGCATAGCCAGTTGCTTCAAATAGCCATCACAGTGACTTAAACATTAAAATTCTCTAAGAATGCTAAACCTCATAATTGCCAAAACAGAAGAGCTTCAAATACTGTAATAAGTCGTTCCTCATGCTAATGAAGTCACTATTTTTACTTTTACATTTACAATCATTACTATAGTCATATCTCTCTCTTTCATTATTATCCAATCACCACATAATCCTAATGTCTTCTAGTTAGAAGTGGTGAAATTTAAACTGCATCATTGAAAAAAATATGGTTTTCTCACGGTAGATTTTAAAGCTAATATTACAAATCCAATTTCACTAACTACCAATCATTGTCAAATCCTTTGTCCTTTAATCATTAGCTAATCATTATAAGGTCCGGATTATGATAACTTTATGCAAATTCATGCCACATATATACTATAAATCTATAACATACAAGGCTCGGATAGATGGGAAGAATCACCTAGTGTTCTTTTGTCTCCGCTGACTTTTGAATCTAAGACCTTAGGGTTCTCAACCACTAAACACTAGGCCACACCCTTGGGTGCCACAAAACATTTGTCAATAAGTTGTTCCTTTTCTCCCAAATTTGAAGAATCAATTCAACCGCCTGGCCTACATTTCTTTAAAGAAAATCTACTCTAAAATCAGCTAGAAATTAATTGGGATCGTACTTAAAGGCAAATGAACATCAAAGCACAATACATAACATATACACCAAGGTCAATTAAAAGCAAAACATACAGAGGAAGTTCAAAAATGCATTAACATTAATAAGATTACCAAACATGCATGATATTAAGGATCATATATAGATGCATAAACGAAAAATGAAAAAGAGAAGAAAAAGATAAAAAGAAGATCCAAACTGCATACAACGCATTCAACACAATAGATCTTTGCAACATCGAAACGTAAAACCAAATAAAGAGAAAAGGTTTATTGTTTGAGTGAAAATCTAAAATTGTGCAAGAAGCAAGGGGCCAACTAGTATTGATCAACTAGGCCGATTAAAGATTCGACCCTATTTGGAAATGTAACAGATCAGTGCCAGACAGAAGCAAGATCACAATCAGACATTTTGTGACCTCATTATTATTACCTTTTTGAGAAGGAAGACTTCATCATTCGTTGAATACTACATGAAACATCCCCATTGCAACAACAGCAACGTACCCAGTGTAATCCCAAACCGCCCTTAACTCTACCTCGTAGAGATAGAGAGACTATTTTCAATAGACCCTCGGCTCCCTTTCTCCCACCACCCAACTTAGAGCCAATTGACCTTCTCTTTCCTCAAGGAAGTGTTGCACCTCCAGGATTATTTTCTTGCGTTGAGCCCCTTTCCCGTTCAGGATGGAAGTTGAAAGAGGTGAGACTGCTCCCTTGCACGTTTGAGCAAGGATGCCATCAACTTATATGTGAAACCTACACAAAAGATTTATTCGCTATCAAGAAAAAAAAAGGAGAATAGCATCAACACCTACATTCTTCACCAGTTATCTCGCCTATCAATTATAGCAAGAACTGATTAAACAAAGGGTCGAGAACTGTAAACCCCCCCCCCCCTCCCCCCCCCCCCCAACTTTTTTTTTATTTTCAATTTTTTTTTTTAAATTT